TTACAACCTTGGACATTTGGGGTCATTAAATTTGTATTCTTTGGGTCTCATCATTTATTTTCATGTTGGCTCGGGAGCTTCAAAGATAAATGTTCGTTCCCTCCTGAGTGCATCTAGGTGTGCATTTATGTATGTGTGTTTGTGTGTTTCATTAGGTAGCACATGCATTTTCGTATGTGCCGGTATTTGTTGTTCCAGCCGTTTGTTGCATATGCAAAGCTCATCCTTTGAGTTATTTCCTCTTGTATGTGCACTTAAGTCTCACATGGTTCGAGTTCTGTCAATCCATATCACCATTGCACTTATTCATAATAGACTGCAGCATTTCCCTCTTCTGCTTATTTGCGAGGGCATCTTATCTTTTTTTTTGCACTCCTGCTCTTCATATTTTTCGTTATTCTGCATATAAATGAATGTGCGGACGCTTGTGTACGCTCACCGATTTTTTTTGTATACCATTGAATCTTGGAACTGTCGAAAATAGTGATAGCTGACGGGCTATCGGGAATGTAATCACAAGTATCTCTCGGCCTCATTTGGCGGCCTGCTTTTAAAAATACATACATATAATCAGGCGCTCTTATTGCACAACCAACTTAATTGCGTGTCTAGCATCCTTTTCAAGTCATAGGAGCTCTAGACACCAGATTTCTTACAGAATCAACAAGCTCTTATTTTGGGATTAGCCTTTCATCGCTTATGCAGAGACGGGAGTATCCAGTTATTCTTATGACTCTTAGACTGGTGGTTTTCGCGAAATCACTCCTTTGTCATACCCCCATTTGTTCAGTCTCCAGCCTTAATCCAGAGCTTGCAGGCCTTTATTTTTTCCCTTGATGACCCCAAGACGGGTCAAACTAGTGGGTTTCTATGCGCCTTCACTTTAACATCTCTACTCGTGCATTTTGCCCCTTCATTGGTTTGTATGGAATGACCTGTGACTTGATTCCCTCCTTTTGAACTGCTCTTTGTTAGCCTCTATTTAGAGCTTGGGGACAATGGTACTGGAAAGCTCTCAAGTAAATCATACCCTGCATTTTTGTTCATTTGAAACTGTCCACTAGGAACCTGGCTTGGATACAAAGTGGACAATTTGAGCAAACTGTTCACAATGGGATGGCCTCACATCGCTTCACTCTGAATCATCTTTTGGTAAAGCTAGCTCACATTTCACCTGTATAATCTACGCTAAATTACGCCCAAGTATCTGTAACTCATGGACTAACTACTTATTGCCAAGGGATCTCAATCTAAGTCATCTACGAAAGGAGCTGGTTTAAAAAATTATTTGAACCAAAAAGCAACCAACTGCTAACTATAGGCGAACTCAGCGGGAGTGAGTAAAATCTATACCTAGAAGTTGTTTGACCTTGTTTTCGCGACTTGATCATATTGGCAGGACTAGAGGAAACCTAGAGGAGTCCACAGTATGCATTATAATTTGCAGTCGGACCGCGCGCTTGGTACATTCCCAGACGTTTCGCTGGCATCGTATTTGGCATTTTCAGTGAGCCTTGCCATTCTTAGCACCACACTACAACTCGTTAACTTGTCTCTGACGAGTTTTAGTGTTGTGCTAAGACTGGCAAGGCTCACTGACGGTGCCGGCGAAATGTCTTGGAACGTACTAAGCCCTTGGTCAGGTTCTGGGAATTATCATGCATACTATGGGCTCTTGACAAGGTTCGTTCCTCTAGGTCTTCCTGCAAATATAACCAAGTTGCGAAAACAAGGTCAAACAATTTCTATACAACTAAAGGAGGTCGCGACTGTACAAAACACCACACCATCTTGGTCTCCATATCTTCGATTAAAATTTGTACGTGTTTACATTTCCCAAATTAAACGGCCAGATGACTGCTTTTTAGAGAATATAAGATATGAGCTACTCAGTGCCAGTGAGATTGGCAACCAACTTTTCACTTTCATGCAGCATTTCATTTCTTGTATTCAGAATTACATCTATTTCCACATCGCTTGTGTAAATATTCACAAACCACATTTTCTTATTGAAATGTAGGAATGCGAGTTAGTTTTGAGCCCTCCCATTGTGCATAATCCACTGCTATGCAGTGCTATTGTAGTCTTATCCTGTCCATTTATTAAGCAATTACCTCGATGATAACTTTCATTTTTTATTAATTTTAGGTCGATTTTTTAACCTGGTCAACTCCTCTGATGTGTCACTGCCTGCAATTGGTCTTGGCAGGCATAGCCGTCCTCCTTTGGCTGATAGAAATCGTAACGGTGGCGTCCATTACTCTACACGTTGTGCTTCTTCCTGGCCGATTAAAAAATTTGATGAGCTTCATCATTCGTCCCATAGGCCATACCAACTAGATTGTGTGAGGCAGAATCATTCCATCCAGTCTGAACTAATGGCTACCCAAGACATAGTCTCCCGTCTGCGTCGTGTTGTGCCCCGATCAGCTAAACCTAATATGAATCGAACTCCCCGTCGTACCAAGGTGAGTAACTCTACAATTGACCACTAAATGAACTTAATAAGCAACTAAATTCATAGTTTAAATATTGGAATATATAATAAATTACGACCGATTCAATTCCCCAGTATAATGTAAACGCTTTTTTTATTAAGCATATCCAACACAATTATTTGTTTACATCGTGGAGTTTTAGTATCGTGATTGCTTAGATTGACGGGTGGTTTTTCCCCCCAAAGTATTCCAAAGTTATAATTTGATAAGGTATTAAAGCTTCCGTTCGGATTTATTTTACCACCAAATATCGACAAATCTGCTTAGAAAGAACGAGATGCTTGAATCGGTGATTTTTTTTGCAGCCCTTCTAGCGAGGACTCACCTGATATGCGTGAGCATTGGCACAGAGAAAAGGAGAACAAAGTGGTTGGCACAGGGTTGGGGGAGAGATGGAAGTAAGTTATCAGAGCTATGGTCTATTCTGGGTACTTCACTTTGATACTTTTGGCTCTAAGCCTGGCATTCTCCGGTTAAAGTAAAGACCGCATGTGTAAAAGAACATCCACCATTCTCTACGTACGTACTCTGTTAACCAAACTATGTAAAACCTAGTATTCAAGAGGCATACATAGTGCAAAAATGTTAGATCGTAGATATGAAGACCAATATGATGTGGCCCTCTGCTTGTCCGCAGTTTCTTTTAGCTTTATAGTGCTTGTCTGACCTCGATTTCGCAACTTGGTAAGAGACCTTGTGGAACGTATCTAGTCCTGCGTCCTCTGACATAGTATTCGTGATTTTCCACATCGGTCCATCGGCTTGGCACATTCCTTAACGTTTGAACAGAAAAGTTGTCAAGACGATTGCCTTTACTTGCCACTTTCCTAAGTTATAACTCTGTGCTAACGATGCCGGCGAAACATCTGGGAATGTACAGTCAGTGGCCCGAAGTTGTAAAACACGAATACTATGACTGATCACGCAGGACTAGGTAAGCTTTACAAGTTCCCTCTACGCTCCGACCAAATTGAGAAAAAGGAAGTATAACTGACACAGCAAAAATACTGCCTGTTCATCATTACTTTGCTCATCTATTGAACATTACTTTGGCGATTAGCTTCAGTTGGACTAAAATCCGTCATATTTTTCTTTTATTAGCTCGAAAACCAATTGATTGACCTTCTGGATGATACGGTGGAGAGTTTTCAGCACATTGTGAATGACCCTGTCTTGAGCGGACTTGCGAAGTCTTTGCTGATTGGTAAGGCGAAATTTCATTATTTTTTATACTTTAATTTAGTTTAATATTTATTAGGCTAGAATAATTCTAATTGTATACTTACATAGATGATTATCTTACTCGGTATCTGTTTGTCGCTTAAATGCGTGAACGAACTATTGGTTATGTAATGGTTTTTGCGCCCATCATATTCATACCGTTTATAAATAGCACTTTAGTTAAATAACACTACTCAAGTAGCAAGAATATTTTGTTCTCAATACATTTGACCTTTAGGCGCCTTTCATTCTTCATTCTAATCATGCAAGTAGTCTATCGCTAAACTATTTATCTTATTCTGCACTCTCTTGACACTTATTTATTTTCAACGCAATAAATATACTTCAATCATGATCCTGGCTTCTTAGTTTTGCAAATCCATCATCTCTGTCTGAAGCAAGGCCGTTTGGTTCGACGTATTTCACATCACACTTTCTCACATCCAATGGAGTTTATAATCGCAATCAATATTTATCTCTAACTGATTTATTTTATTTTATTCTATACCTTATAGCCTCGCCATCTCATCCTCTTGAGTCCAACGCTACTAATGACTTGACTGGCATCAACTGCTCCTCCAGCAATTACCACGACAGTGGCTATTTGCAGTCGCCTACCCCGGGATCTGGATTTCTCGAAGGATCTGCATCTCACACATTTGCTCAAGATCAGTGTGTTTCCCATTCAAATGTCTCCTCATTTGAGTCTGTCACTCTTGTAGCCTCACCCCTTTCTTGTTCGTCTCCAGGATTGGCCCCTGGCTCCAGTCCTACTGCAATTGCTTCTTCACCATCCTCAATCCTATCCATGAATCATAGAACTTCCATACCTAACCAACCAGCCCAAATTAGTCCGTCGATTACCATCTCACTTCGCCAGGCCAGAATCGATCAGGCCTCCAGTCTCTCGGAGGACAGTGGCTTGAGTATTCGATCATCCTCGCCTGTTTTGTCGCCGTCATCATTGCCGACTGGCTCATTGGCATGGAACCATCTGCCTATGCATGGGTATGAACAGCCCTCTGATGAGTCTGCTGTAGAAAAAGGGACACGTCTTCTCTGTGATTGGTTAGACTGGAGGAAGGACACGTATTAAGAGAGGTATGCATTGCCACAAAAGCCCCTAAGGGTGGCTGCTATGGGCCATTTTTAGGATTCCACTGTATATAAGTCCACCTTCTGTAAAATACGGGATATGCTCTCACTGCATTCACGTGAAGCTAGCTTTGTCTCGGGCTGTCGGAAGGCTTGATCCCTTCAACGTTCCGTCCTATTCTGCATTTTATTGGGCTTGCTTAGCGCGATGGATCTCCTTGTACATAAAAGCTATGAGAATCATACTCATCCTATCTGCCGCCACTGTAAATGCACACGCTTATCTCTATTATTGGTATTATAAGGTCTGCTTTGATTCTTCGATATCCATATACGTCCACATTATTAATATTGTACATACTTTGCCAAAAAATCCGACGATTACCATCACTCCTAACCATTTTATTGCCTTTTCTTCCCCTACTCCGAAATTGTGATTCTCGTTACGGGACCCTTGCGATTTATAGGTCCTAGTTGGAGAAATATCGTTAAATGGCTCCTAAATGACGAATTGACTGTCAGCGGTTTACAATTGATACAGGGAAATGAGATTAAATTAATTCCCTTGGGTAGTCAAGCTACAAAGTCAGTCTATTAAAGTATTCAGGGCTCTTAATTAGTGGCTTGCGTGAATTATAATTGCATCGAAGTTGTTTGACCTTGTTTTCTTAACTTTGTCATATTGGTGGGAAGAACTAGACGAACGCACCTAGTCCAGAGCCCATTGTATGCATGATAATTTCAATAGTCGGACAGTGGACGGGGTAGATTCCCAGCTGCTTCGCCGACATTGTAGTTGGCATCGTCAGTGAGTCTTGCCAGTCTCAGCAACCAAGCTATAACTCGTCAAAGAGACAAGTGAAGCCGATCCTCTGACCAATTGTCTGCTAAACAATTGTGGTATCTCTCCTTCTGCCCT